CCTATGTCAGACCATATACTCTGAACTGTTTTGGACGAAAGGTTCGTGAAGTATTGACAATGTGTGGCAATGGGTCATCATCATCATCATCGACAGCATGACATCAGTGTTCAACACCGATGCTTCACTGCCGTACAACCATGACTTATTTGAAAGCCTTATTGTAAAGAAAAGAGTAAAGGTGGACGGGGGATGGACTTAGTGCTAGCTTAACACAATCATTCCGAGGTGCCTACACCTCCAGACCATTCACTCAGGCAATCTGGATAGAAACTGACAACAAGAACGCCCCTGACATCGGTTGGCAGCCACCATATTGACACCATAGGTATCTCAAATTAGCAAACGCAACCCGAGCCTTGCAGATTCGTGCATTGACCTCATCCGTCACACTACAGTTGGAACTAATACAACTTCCAAGATAAGTTAAACGCTCCACAACTTCGAGTGCTTCCCCTGGATTGTAAGTGTGTGTTCAATGACTGCATGTCCAGGAGCATGATGTTACACTTTGTGGGTGAAAAGTGCATACCAAAGGACATGATGACTTTGGTCAATTCATCGAAGAATACTTGCGCCTTATCCTTTTCGAACATGAAAACGATGTTGTCATGATTTTTGTGTGCTTATTCTTATACTTACCACATTTACTCGTACTGAACCTTTGTATGTACATTTCAGCTCATGTACGCTCGTTCTTAGACAAGTAAAACGTTGCTTATCCTCGAAAACCTGGATTCTGTTCTAACTCGTTCTCGGACTCATTCTAAACGTCTCAATTTACTTGCCTAAGAACACAATGGACCCGCAACTACGACCTCGGTTCTTCGATGCCGACCTAAACTCCGCAGATTCAGCAAAACGCTGGAGTCACTGGTTTCGTACCTTCGAAACGTATCTGAAAACTGTTTAATCTTCTAAACCCGACGAACTTGAAACTCTCATCCACTTTGTGGATCCGTTAGTATGCGATCACATTGCTGATCGCACCGACTATGAATCTGCGGGAATTATATGTCCGTCCGAAAAATGTCATGTATGCACGCTACCTGCTACAGACCTAAAAGCAGGAGAGTGGACAAGATATTGATCAGTTCGTACAAAAACTGAAATCATTAGCCAAAGACTGTGAGTTTAAATCTGCGTCTGCAACTGAATATCAAGATGAGTGCGTGCGGGATGCTGTAATTAACGGCCTGGCATCCACATCCATCCNCCCATATCTTACGATTCCACCCATTTCACAGAATCCCGAACTGCGTGTTGATCCCACCACTGCTGCTGTAAAATCCATTCAGACATGTTATGTTAGTACCCATATCTTGCTCTACGATTCCACCCATTTCACAGAATCCCGAACTGCGTGTTGATCCCACCACTGCTGCTGTAAAATCAAATCCGACATGTTATTTNCGTCTGCAATCTTTGTGGTAAACGCGGTCACTTCCGCCGCGTGTGCCGTTCAAAAAATACCTCCCAAGTTCCAACAAGTTGTACAACAAAGCCTACTTTATCGTCATTATTCGTTGCAGCAGCTCCTACCTGCCTGGTGCATGCCATCGCAACCTTCGAAGTTAATGGCATCACTCTCCGTGCTCTGGTCGACACAGGGAGTTCTTGCAGTTTCATTAACGCTAAGGTCGTGAAACTGCATAATTGGAAAATTTATCCAACTTTCTCAGTCGTCACAATGGCGTCTACATCCCTATCTTGTCGAACGACTGGTTACGCTTGTGTTTCTGTCCGATACAGAGATACCTCATACAGTGAACTGAAGCTCTTTGTAATGCCAAACCTCTGCACCGACGTTTTACTCGGGCATGACTTTCTAGGTCTACATGGCAAGGTAGAAATTTCATTCGGCGGGGATCGTGATGCGCTCACCATCTGCGGCCTGACGGCTGTAAACGTTGAATCACCATCACTTTTCGCCAACTTGTCTCCAGATTGCAAGCCTGTTGCAACCAAATCAAGAAGGCATCATCCGGATGATGAAAAATTCATTCGCGCCGAAGTTGACCGCTTATTGCAAGAAGGCATCATCGAACCGTCAACGTCTCCCTGGAGAGCGCAGGTTTTGATTACTAAGGGTATCAATCACAAACGCCGGATGGTTGTTGACTACAGCCAAACTATCAACCGGTTCACATATCTGGACGCTTACCCTCTGCCACGCTTGGACAAAATGATTGAGGAGATTTCGCACTACGAAGTCTATAGTACATTAGACCTCTTGTCTGCTTACCATCAAGTCCCCATCTCGGCATCCGACAAACCTTTTACAGCATTCGAAGCATGTGGTGGCCTGTTTCAGTTTCGTCGCATACCCTTCGGTGTCACAAACGGTGTTGCGTGTTTTCAGCGAACTATTAACAATATCATTACGACTGAAAAGCTGAAAAGCACGTATGCCTACATAGACAATGTGACTATTTGTGGCAAGACCCAAGAGGAACACGATCTCAATCTCCAGTCGTTTTTGAGAGCTACGAGGAAGTATGGGATCACTCTTAATGATGACAAAACAGTCACTTCTTCAAAAGTTATCCGCCTCCTAGGTTATGAGGTTTCAAAGGGTGTCATTAGACCAGACCCTGAACGCATGGAACCCATCCGTCAGTTACCTCTTCCGCGTACTACCACGGAAATGCAACGTATCATCGGTATGTTTGCATATTATGCTCATTGGATATCCTCATTTTCCGACAAAATCAACAAACTGGTAAAGAATAAAACTTTTCCCCTACCTGCCGACGTCGAGTTGACCTTCGACAACCTAAAGAACGAACTAGAAAATGCTACACTAATCACAATAGATTATAACGAGCCTCTGGTTGTTGAAACGGATGCCTCCGATGTGGCTATAGCCGCGTCCCTAAGCCAAAACCGTCGGCCGGTAGCCTTTTTCTCGAGGACACTCAATCCGAGCGAGAAGAATCATTCTGCCATCGAGAAGGAGGCCTACGCTATCGTTGAATCCATCCGGAAATGGCGGCATTATCTACTCGGAAGACCCTTCAAACTGATCACCGATCAGCGTTCAGTCTCATTCATGTACGGCGGTGGACAGAAGGGTAAAGTGAAAAACGACAAGATACAACGATGGAGGATTGAGCTGTCCGAGTACAAATATGATGTCATATACCGACCTGGCAAGGACAATCATGTCGCCGACACTCTGTCACGAAACGTATGTGCTTCCATGGGGAGCAATAACCAACTCGGAGAGCTCCATAACTCCCTCTGCCATCCAGGCATTACCCGTATGTTTCATTTTGTGCGTTGCAAGAATCTCCCCTACTCCGTCGACGATGTCAAGCGCGTCATTTCCTCCTGCAAAGTGTGTGCTGAACTGAAGCCAAGATTTTGGAAATCCTCTGGTAGACTCATTAAAGCAACACAACCTTTTGAACGTCTGAGTTTGGATTTTAAAGGTCCTTTGCCATCTAATACACGCAACCGCTACTTACTCACTATAATTGACGAGTTCTCTAGATTCCCATTTGCATTTGCGTGTGCGGATATGACCTCGGCAACTGTGATTGACTGTCTCACACAAATCTTCTGTCTGTTCGGAATGCCAGCCTATATCCATTCCGACAGAGGCTCATCGTTCATGTCGTCTGAGATCAATAGCTTTCTTCTGGAGAAAGGTGTTGCTATGAGTCATACATCAGCTTATAATCCACAGTGTAACGGTCAAGTTGAGCGTCTCAACGGTACTCTCTGGAAAACAATAAGCTTAGCGCTGAAATCTCACAATCTCCCGCCTTCCCGTTGGGAATCAGTACTCCCTGATGCTCTACACAGCCTCCGATCATTGTTATGTACAGTCACTAATTGTACTCCACACGAACGTTTGTTCCAATACGCACGTCGATCAACATTTGGAATATCGTTGCCATCTTGGTTGACCACCCCTGGTCCAGTTCTGCTGCAACGAGGTGATAGGTCATCCAAGTACCAACCACTAGTAGAAGAAGTTGACCTTCTGAACTGCAACCCACACTACGCACACATTGCTCATCGAGACGGAAGAGTCGAAACCGTGTCCCTTCGCCGTCTAGCCCCAGCTGTTCAGAGTACAACTGACAATGTTCTCAATCTGTCTGAATCCAACGAGGATACCGAACACCCAGATACGAATGAACTAACCGGACGTCAGCCCAATAGCTCTCAAGCATCTGAACCTTCTTCTGTACCGTCCTCCGAACACCAACCGAGTTATCCTGGGATTCTAGAACAACAGCGACGCATTCATCCTTATAGTTTGAGGAACAGAGAAGCTTGATTCAGTACATCACTTCCTGTCTACTTCAGTTCATATGTGCCCATTCAAACACTGTCGGGGTGAATGTCATGATTTTTGTGTGCTTATTCTTATACTTACCATATATACTCGTACTGAACTTTGTATGTACATTTCAGCTCATGTACGCTTGTTCTTAGACAAGTAAAACGTTGCTTATCCTCGAAAACCTGGACTCTGTTCTAACTCGTTCTCGGACTCATTCTAAACGTCTCAGATGTGGTCTGCATACTCCAGATCGACAAGGTTTTCGTCACAGCCTATCTGAACACCGGGGCCTGGAGACCTTCCAGCGTTCGTCTCATGATTTCATCGGTCAAAAAGTTAACCAGGAATGGAGAAAGTGGGCATCCCTGACGGACACCACTTTGTGTACGGGAGCTTTTGTGGAGCTCACTGCATGTTCTCACACGTCCGGAAGTCTGGGAATACAAAGAGCTTATTGTGTTCACGAACTTGCGGGGCATTCCTTGGTGGCCATGCGTGTGAAGCAGAACAGACCGGTCAACCTAGTCAAAAGCGCCTTGGAAACCCAGGGGCACTACAATTGTGGGTCGCTTGTACATATGGCGTAGTTCTAGCACCTGACGGAGCGGAATCCTGCTTGTTGCTCTTGAGTCAGTGTCTCACGAGCCACCGTAAGGCGACGAAGCACAAGTGACGTTACCACCGGAGTCAAGCTGATCCCCCTATGGTTACCACACTCACTACGCGCCCCTTTTTTGAAAACGGACACTATCACCGATTCCTCCCAGTTGTCTGGGACAGATTCCTTTTCCCAAGTGCAAGAAAACAGATCAGACAAGCGCTGGCTGAGGAATTCACCCCCATCTTTGAACAATGCAGGTGGAAGGTCATCCGGACTGGGAGCTCGGTGGTGCTTAAGACAACATATGCAGTCATAAACCTCCGAGGCCACAGGCGGTTCCACGTTCACCGTCCAGGGTTTTATTTCACCTGTGGGCTCTAAATGAGTGCCAACTTGTGGCCACGATAGTTTTTCTTCGGAGTATTCGTCGGTTCAGGCGTTATTGTTTATTCGAGATAGTCATCCCCTCCGATCCTTGATAGTTTCACTCACAGGTGGTTTCCGGGGCCCCATCGCACGGATCAAGTGAAATAATCTTTGGGCACTACTGGCTTTTTGGGCCTCTACCATTTCCTTGGCTTTCCGTGTGCACCACAGGATGTGATTTTCCAAGTACACTAATCAAATCCCTCTTCTATCCTCCTTTGTTCTTGTGTAATGTATTTCGTCTGAATTATTGTGCTCTGAGTGCACAATGTTACTGAAAAAGAAATTGAGGGTAGGCTGAGAATCATGGGAATAAAGTGGAACGAGATCTGGTGAGAGGAGCGCAGTGGAACTGGTGAAAGATAGCACCTTGTCCATGTTTGGACAAGGGAATTTCAGATTATTTGTAATCTTTCCTTGTTCTTTAGGTAGCTCTCCACAATCCAAAGAGGGTGGTTGGTTTCTTCCTTCGATCCTTTCCTAATGTTCAGAGTATCTCACCTTCATCTGTCTCCTACTGAAACATAAGCCTGTTTTTTGTTGGAGGTCGCCGGCACCCGGCATTAGATTTCCTGCACTGTATGTCTTTAATTCCTATTCCTATTCCTGGTTTCGAATCGTTTTTGGTCTTAAGATTACCTAATGTGTATCCTTAACCATGACCAATCCTTCGCCTCCAACCTCCGCGACCACTGTCATCAACTTTTCAGGCACAGACGCGCAATTCTATTGTGGAGAAACCTGTTCATTTGTTCCACCCTTAAGTCAACTAGTGGACGAATCCATTCGCACTCCCTTCGTCATAAAGCTTTAATGACAACATCTTCCCGAAACTTATGTCTTTAACCCCTCAATCGCTTACCACCTTCTCCCGTGGTTCCTGACATTTAAATCCTCTGGTTACTGCTGCCAGAAGAACCTCACCGTCGTGTGCTGAATTTGGACTGGCTGCTCACAATCAACCATCATCATCATCATGAATCAAGTCGTTAATTATCACTTCCTCTTTAGTAAAAAATCGTTCAGCTGTAACACCCTTTAGGTGCCTAGCTGTCATGCCACCTGAAGGAAGCACGAGGGCTGAGATGTTGCCAGGTTGCCCAGACAAGGGAAGTCGAGATGCAGAGGTCGGGTTTGAACCTTGACCTTGCGGTCAGTAAATCCGCGCTCTATCCACTGAGCCATCTTTCCCCTCTGCTTTGGTGTAGAGTCGCCACACAAGTGGGGGAAACCCGAGAGTTCATATACTGCCAAATTATCGAAGCTTTAAAGGAAAATGGGAAAGTCATTTACGTTTGCGAATTACACACGTAACGTGTTATTTGAGTTCTGTGGACGTGTGTCGCGTGGGACGTGGGACGCGCACCTGGGTCTGAGAAATATATATGCCAGTTATGCGTTGCCCTCTTCCGGCATGACTGCTTGTCTGCTCCTGGGTTATATTTGGTTGGTATCCCCTGTCTAGGCTTGGGCAACGTGGCAGTATTCCGGCCCCCATGCTTCCTTCGGGTGGCTTGGCAGTTAGGCACCGAAAGGGTGCTACAGCTGAACGGCTTTTTGGTTCGATGAAGAAACTTCACAAATGTATCTCGTCTAGCGCAGTGTTTGTCGACAGTACTGATCAGTCTAGAGCTTTGTGTATCTTAGCCCAGCTGACTTAGTGATTACATAATTCGTATTTCATTATCTCCAACTTTTGTTTAGTTATTTTTCTACCGAACTTCGGACGGCTGTAATTTTTAACGAGAATAGCCTGTGTTTCTTGAGTGAATCTTCGTGATGACTCCAAACCAACCTATCCCTGTTTCTTCAATCTTTTCAGCTCTCCGAAATGTTGCAGCAAACGGATACGGCTGTCAAGCGGCACAACTGTCTGAATGAGCTAACTATGCAAAGCCGCTTAATGACTGAGGACGAAAACAGGATCGGCAAGAAGAGCGAGTGGTTTCGGCTCAATTTAACCGGTAAGCTGTTATGAACCGAAAAAACGCTCGATTGCCGACCACAATTTTTCCAACGTAAGGTTTACATTCTAACTTTTTTCCTGTTGTGTGCGTATCATTTAAGTTGTTACCCGTCCATTTCAGGACCTGTGAAAAATTTCTCCCGCACCCTTTGTCAACTCACCTACATCACCACACTCGTGATAAAAAACAATAACCTTGAACGACTACCTGCGGAGTTGGGTAATTTGACTAACCTGGTCAACTTGGACGCGAGCTGTAACAAACTGCAATCGCTTCCGGCCACCATAGGCGATCTGATTGAACTGCGTGCGCTCATCCTCAACGATAACAAAATTGTCGATCTCCCTTTTGAAATCGGACGGCTTCTGAACCTTCGGCATTTTAGTAAGTCTCACCAATTTGTTTTTTTTTCGTTTGCTGTGAAAACTTACCGGTTGGCCCTTTGCACTGTAAATTGGATCTCACGGGGAGGGGGGCTTGACGACACCAATTACGTCTGGGGTGGAAGGATCCTGCTAGGAAGACTTACTTCACCCACCAAAGTTATCTAACAACTCGGGTTTGTGTACGCATACTACAATTGTATTTTTCTTCCATAAACTCGTCTTAAGTTATTCTTCGCCCTACGGCTTCCGTTAAACAACGTCGATTGTGATAACAATCGACTCATACCATGCCCCTCAGGACGTACACGACATCCACCTCAACCTGAGTCATTTTTCTACACCGAAATGTTTATTTCTTACGGTTGTTGGCTAGCCAGTTCAGTATGCACGTGCCTGTTTATGTGCGCAAAACCGCACTGTCATTTTCCAGTGTAGTGCTCATATATTGTTTCGTCAAACGATTCACAACTTCATCATTTGCTTCCTGTTTCTGGTGGATTTATGTCAGGCTACTCTAATTGGGGAAATCTACAAGAATCGTCCTGTTATCTTCCTTTAACGGGGTAGTACTAATCCCACCCTTAACTGTACTCACTGAGGTAGAGGATACAAAACCACACTGCAGTTGGACCGCATTTGAATCGAGCAAGCTGTGCATTGAACACAAAAAAAGTTGGTTATGTTTAGTTCATTGTACTCGCCGTCGACCAAATGTCAATTACTTGCAGTCTTCACTCTGCTCCACTGAACGAGCTTCAGTGCTTGTCCCTACACTCTTATAGGGCCTAAGTGAATGAACACCTGAAAGCTTTTCTCCTCTTCTGATGGATCCGCTTCGATAGTTGTTAACAATGCAGATCAAACGAATGTACTCGAGTCTAATCCATGTTTTCTACGATTCCTGTCTTTTACTGACCGCGAGCACGGCCATTAAAAATGCGTCCACAGAGTACAGCGAAACAAGGTGTGTGGTCGCGGAATGTGCATGTTTTATAAACATGTTAGAGGTGCACGTAATAATATTTTGATATTGTTTTGCCTCAGGATAATCTAGAAGTTGACTCCAGTGGTTAGTCGTCGCTTCTGTCGGTCTACACACCGTAAACTTTGGGCACCAATGTGTTCTGAGAAAATCAGGTCACTTCATACGAGTTAAGTAGAGCTCGAAATAGCCCAGTGGTTAGGTGTGTACTTACTAACCGGAAGGTTTATGGTTGGAACCCAAATCCGGCATCTTGACTGCTCCCGATTTGCCGTTCTCTCCAAGGGGCCAGGTGGTTAAGAGTGCGAACTTACTGACCGGAAGGTCCGTGGTTCGAACCTAACGTCTGTCTCTCGACTTTCTCTGTCTAGGCTTGAACAACATGGCAGTATCCCAGCCCTCGTGCAACTAACCCAGCTTTATGGGGTCGATAGCTAATGTACTAATGTATCAGCCTCGATGTATTTACAGTCCGTTCAATTACCATTCCCATCGTGTGTTATTTTCTCTTCAACATCACGCCATCACTGCTCACCAAACTGCGCCAGTGGTAGATTGCGGGTGCGGGTCTTTTCTCAACAAAGTATGACACGTAGACAGGTCTTTGGGAGCGTGTGTTTTCTGTAAAAGGGAAGGTGAACTTTCGCACGACTGTTTTTCGCTTCTGTGTCACGTAAACTGATATTCACCCACCGTCCTTCGACCACAGCTTCCTTCAACCAGCACCTATCGCCTGTAATGAACATGTGATGGATAGTGGATCGGGGCAAGGTTATCCAATTTGCACGTACTGAGTGCTCGTGAGTTGAGGAGGGTTGAGAAGACGGCTTGTGTGCATCAGCCAAACCAAGACTAATGGTATGGATTACCGAAAAGCGCATGCCCTATTTTGCTAGAAGATGCTGTCTGACTGGCGTTTGGTGACTCTTGTGTTATCCATTGTTCAGGGGATGGATTGGAACTCAAGAGTGATTGTTTGAATTAGTTTCAAGGATCAAATGGTACCAGCTATAACCGCATGAACTCAGTGGTAATGGTTTAATACATACTTGTTTTACCAGGTCATCATATATTTCAAACTTGAAACTTACCGTTACGTCAACCACGAGGAAAATTCTTTTAGATGAGTGTTAAAGGAACCATTTAACACCTGTTGGTCTAGTGAAGCCCGAATACAAGGTTTTACATCCGTACAAAAAACGCGTTAAGAAGTCTATTTAAATACAGTATGTGGTTTGAATTAACATCCTGTAGGTTGTTTTCGTAACAGAACTCACTACTTATGATATTGCTAAAACTCTACAGCACCACTGCTGGTTTCGAATCCCTTGGAGATCATTGCAGCACCACTGCTGGTTTCGACCTCCTTGGAGATCATCAGGCAAACGTATCTCCCGACTCTTCATCCATATTATTTTCTTATCGTGCGTAGTTGCGCCCCGCTTGTTCGAGTAGAACAGAAGTTTGAAGATTCGGGGGCTCTGCCCACCTAACATGCACCGAGAAGGATGAATCCCGCTTATTAGTAATCGTAATCGCACCGCCTAGCTGCCATGCCACTCGAAGGAAGCGCGGCGGCTGAGCTACTGCCAGGTTGCCCAAACCTAGACAGGAGCAGTCGAGATGTTCGAACCACGGACCTTCCTGTCAGTAATTTCGCCTCCTACCCATTAAGGAATCTCGATCTCCCCGTTCGTTAATTCCAGTGCCAAACATGGTGCCTTTCTAAGCTGACTAAACAAACCGACTGCGTCCATCTGTTTTTGGTTTTCGTTAGTCGCTAACTAGCGCTAATAGTAAGCGTTAGTATTGTGCGAGATGATGGAGATGGATAGTGTTTGTATTAAAAGCCACACCAGTGCAGTGGCCACTGTTGTTTTCGCCATTTTTATGCTTTCTGCTCAGGATAATCTTGTGGCTGCCGGTGCTATATTTAAGGGTATGCTTAGTGTGGGGCCAAATACGACGGTTACGTACAAGGATAGGAATAGATTCACTGTCATGGCTCACTTTGAGGCGACCTCCGACATGTCTGTTGGATTCATGAATGGTGCGGCTTACTTTGGTATTTAGCCTAAATTAATTTACTGGGGCCATTGTCGCTCACGGTGTTTCTGTAAATATTGCCCAATTCGGTTGAAATCCAAGTCGATGAGGGACATTTTATTATGCTTTAGATGGATCATATACAGACTGCAACCATTTAACCCGCAGGCAGTACTGACTATAGTTCAGTACTGTTCAATTTGTCAGTCATAAATCATGCAACCAAGGGCACTATTGCTCCCGGCTGCTTCAGTTGCGGTCAACTGAAAATCGGACAGTGGAGAGATAAAGCATTGGAAACGGTGAAATGATTCGTCAGTTCCCAGTGAATCAGTCAGCTCATTTGAAAATATAGGAAACTGGCCAAGTGAACATTGAAGGCACTAACTTTGATGCAGGAGCGCCACTGACTACGCGATAGAGCCATGTTTGCCAATGTCGCTAACCGCTGCCTGTCTATGAAACCTCAGGTGTCGAAATGCTCCCGAGACGTTCGTTCACAGACATTGAGTATTAGGAAGGTACTGCTCTCCTTGGTCCAGATCCTTCGAAAATGCAAACCATCTTAAATAATTCTCCCGCCTGTTGTGGCATGCGCTTCACACCAGAAAGGTGTAAAGTTGGCTGCAAGATTGGTTGTGGTCAAACCCAAACCATATGCTTCCAGATGAGCCAATCAACGTTGTTGATGGATTTCTGTACCCTGGGTAGTTGTATAAGTTCCAAGAGACTGGCTAGAACTGAGATCGTTCCTCGAATCTTTCGCCAGCCTTTTACACAAAGACCCCTATGTGACGTGAGTTTGTCTTTCAAGGGCAGAATTTATACTGCAGCAGTGCGATCCGTACTATTTTATGGATCGGAGACGGTCTCTACATGCAGAGGATATATGGAAGTCGTCGGTGTTTGACCATGGGTGTTTCCGAAGCATTGGTTGGGTCTGGGGGGAACATCGTATCAGTACTATTGAGGTATGTCAAATGGTCCTAGGGAGAAGGAACTCTCCCGCGATAGATGAATTACTCATGCTTCATAGGTTACGCTGTTTAGTACTCCGCATGTCAAAAGACCGCCTACCTCGCAAAGGTCTTATCGCCCAGCCCTGTGAGACCGAGTGGTGTACGTTGTATGACCTCGCAACGAGGTATGGAAACACTAACTAGTAAACATCCTAAGGCCTGCTTTTGAGCTTACCGTTTTGGGAAGAGTCTACTCAAGTCAGTGTCCAATACTCTGGCGGTCAGTCTATGTAACTGTTGGCAGCGCGGTCCACAGTACGTTGTCGGTGCTTCAGTTATCACTAACTACAGAACTCGAATCGTTGTCACTGACTATAAACCCCGACGTAAAAGAGTCCTCAAAAAGAACATAACAACTGGATTGAGAACAAGGGAATACAAAATTACAGGGAGCATCGCAGACTTTTGACATTTAATCATGGTGGTCGTTGGCTTGTTCGCTGAGCTGGACAATTTGATTGCAAACGTTTCATCACCAACCGAGGTGACATCATCAGTGCGTTATTGTGGAGCGTAGTAGTGCGTAGCGGTGGATTGGTGGTTGGCACAACCACGTTTGCAATCAAATTGCCCAGCTCAGTGAACAAGCCAGCGACCACCATCTACGCTACCTGAGCTACCGACATTTTCCTCTATAGAAAACATTTAATCATGGCTGTCCAGTCGGTGTTGAGTGATTGGTGATCGACATCGCTTATGGGTCACACCTGAACATTCGACCATCGTCGCTCGTCGCTAACTGGCTGTCTAAACATCTAATCGATAGCTCTTCGGGCCCATAAATTCGTTGGCCTTCCCAAAGTAATTTTGGCGGTTTCGAGTAGGTCCTGGGGTTATTTTCAAGAGCCTAACCTTCCTGACACGAATCAACTTAAGTTATTAGTTGTATGGTGTTCTTCATACCAGAGCACAATTTTTAACTAACATTCTAGCCTATTTTTTTCAGGTTTA